TCTAAGTGATAAACTGTTTTTTGTTTTTTTTTTTTTTTTTTAGTAATAGGTAGATTTAAAAATTCTTTTAAAAACTATAAAAATAAATATGTGAAGACTGAAGCAGCATGGAGGTCCAATCAACTGTCATTTAAATTGCAACTTTAACGTGAACAGCATGAAAGAGAACAACTAATTCAAAAGGGTTTGCTTTGTGAAGCAACATTTCATAACTGTTCATTTAACCTGAGCTATCTTACTTCAAATTTCTATTTAATCTTTTCTGTTAGCGATAAATACACATAAGAAAATTTAACATTTCTAGACTTTTTCCTTCAAAAAGTCAAACAAATGAGTTCAGTATTGTGCCAAGAAACAAGTGCATACTTACCACTAAATAGAAAAATCATGCTCATATTTCACCACAGATAATGCTAAAAGGAGTTTTTGTCCTTTATTTTAGTCTGCTGGGTAAGGCTTAGTTTAAAGGCAAAATCCATCTTTGGAGCATAGAATCATAGAATCGTTTAGGTTGGAAAAGACCTTTAAGATCAAGTCCAACTATTAACCTAGCACTGCCAAGTCCACCACTAAACCATGTCCCTAAGCACCACCTCTACCCGTCTTTTAAATACCTCCAGGGATGGAGACTCAACCATTTCCCTGGGCAGCCTGTTGCAGTGCCTGACTGCCCTTTCGGTGAAAAAGCTTTTCCTAATATCCAACCTAAACCTCCCCTGGTGCAACCTGAGACCATTTCCTCTTGTCCTATTGCTTGTTACTTGGGAGGAGAGACTGACCCCCACCTCATGACAACCTCCTTTCAGGTAGAGTGATAAGGTCTCCCCTGAGCATCCTCTTCTCCAAACTAAACAACCCCAGCTCCCTCAGCCGCTGCTCATGTGACTTGTTCTCTGGACCCTTCACCAGCTTCGTTGCCCTCCTCTGGACACGCTCCAGCACCTCAACGTCCTTCTTGTAGCGAGGGGCCCAAAACCGAACACAGTATTTGAGGTGCGGCCTCACCAATGCTGAGTACAGGGGGATGATCACTGCCCTAGTCCTGCTGGCCACACTATTTCTGATGCAAGCCAGGATGCTATTGGCCTTCTTGGCCACCTGGGCACACTGCCGACTCATATTCAGCCAGCTGTTGACCAGCACCCCCAGGTCCTTTTCCACCAGGCAGCTCTCCAGCCACTCCTCCCCCAGCCTGTAGCGTTGCATGGGGTTGTTGTGACCCAAGTGCAGGACCCAGCACTGAGCCTTGTAGAACCCTGCGTTGCATATTTTCAATAGGTCACCTTTCGTGATGGCACTTTTCTGATCAGCTTCGGTAATTCAGCCCATTCTCCATGGAAGTTCTGTGTTGATATCACACTGATAAGCTCATCATTTTGTTTTCTTTTATCAAGATATTATTCCTTCCGTTATTCTTCAGAACTAGCATAAGTGAATCCCTTGTTTTTTTCCCGTTTGGTGTGTTCTCAGTGGCTTAGCTTTTATCAGCTCCCTCGGCTTGTCCCTCCCCAGCACAGTTCTAGTTAGCTGCTTCCACCAAAGAAGCTCAGATCAGAGAACAGGGCTCATTACCCCTGGCCCTCCACCTTGGACCTTTCTGGGAGGGTGCCAGCGACTGAACACTAGTATTTTTCATTCAGCATCTTCAAAGGCAAATACTTTTGAGTGGGGTACCCTTCCCAACTCGGGCAGGGATGAAATGCCCAGTGTGACATTTAGGTACAGTCCAAAATCCAGAAGGTAAAACCAGAAGCTTTAATGCCCAGGCAGCCCTGGGACAGTGCTCTTGCCTATTCTGATCCTGAGCAGCATTCACTGACAGCCATGAAGCACTCCTGTAAGGCAAAGCAGCGTACAAGCTGACTGGAGTAATGTTGGGGCTGAGCTGGCTCCTGACACAGCCCAAAATTTAGGAGGCAGAAAGACGGTTTTAATGTAGTCTTTGCCCTTTTACACATCAGCTGTATTTTTGAGTTGCACAGCACAAAAGCCAGCACCTTCTCTATTGAACAAAGCAACATGTCCATGGATTTTATGACAGCGGCTGCCTTTTTCCAGAGAGGCAGGGGACAGTAAAGAGCTTTTTGATTTTGCTTTTTAAACAGAAATGCAAAATACATTACATTGCTATAGTAATCAGTACCTAGTGTTTAATCTAGATTTAAGTAATGAAGATAATAATAATGTGAAAACCAGTCTATAATAAAGTGTTGACTATTTCAAAATGCTACCTCTGTGTACTTTAGGATACAGACGCTTCATTGATTGTCATTGCATTTATAAAACAAGCTTTAAAATTAAGATTAAAAGATGGAATCCATCACATGTTTCCAATAGAGGGCACACACAGCACTTTGCAGAATGAAAAATTTTTGAAATGTACTTTTACTAACTGATGTGGCGGAACTGTTGCCAATCATATTCAGATTCCTATAGAAATTAATAATTTGTGCTCCACTTCCAACAAAAAGTTGTCTGCTAGGTTGGGAATGTCTCTCTTTGGTTTGCTTCAGAATATGCAAATTTTAATTATTCAGAAAATCAATGTGAGTTTTCCTTACTTTTTTGCCCATGTCCCCACAATGTGTAAATAGTTTTTTGAGAGAAGATGTGTGATATTTTCAAAGGGTAGACTGCAAATGGATTTTCTGTCTATAAGGGACAGTGCTCAGCATTCAGAAGTGCAATTTAATATCTACTCAAAATTATTTGACTTTAAAGAATTTCAGGCAGCCACAGCATTGGTTTTTATTTTGTTTTGTGTTCACTTATTTTAGAGATATAGTCAGCAAGCTGGAAAGCTTTCTAGCACCCAGCAGATGTGATACATGGTAGCTGCTGAATTTTGGTGTTTCACAGGACCATTTCAATCATTAGAAGTCTGCATCCAGCTCCTATCAGAACTGGTTGGACTACACAGTCAGACAACACAGAGATGATGCACAGTTGTTTCTGTCCTGAAGAGAGACCACGCCACTGCCACCGGTAAGGCTTGGTGCTTGGATAACCTGGGTTTGAGGAATAACAACAATTAGGTACACAGAATGTAAGCAAGACAGAAGTGATGCCAGGAGGTAGATAAAAGCCTTTTGAAGGCTTCACAACCCTATATTCACTCTTCTTTCTTTGAAGATCCCACATCCCTACACTCTATCCAACCTGTCTTTTAGAACAATCTTTGGATTCCTCTCAAACACTCATTTGACAGCACAAACTTTCTATTATCTAAGCTAGGTTATTGCCATACTGGCAAGCAATGGCAAGCCTAATTTACCCACTTACTGCAAGCTCACGGCTGGACTACAGCATTGAAAGTAACTGAGCATTGATGTTCAAGGACACTTACAGACATGTAGGCACAACAGTTAAGGTCTCCACTGGCCACTTCGGAAACTGATTCAGATTCAAGTTCTTGTTCTTTATCTTCAAGGCTTTCCCAGACTTTTTGCTGGTAAAGGCCACAATAAATGTTCACAGTAAAGATCATGTTTAATAACTTCTGGGGAACTGCCCCTGGTCAGAAATAAAAACCATCCTGCAGGAGTTGCTTGTTTGCAATCTTTGCCCCAGAAGTTCCAGCACCTCACACACCTTGCCACCTAGTGCTCCATGTTTCTTCTCCAGCAAAAGCTGAGAAAATTTGTGTTCGAATACAAAACAAATAAACAAAAATCCTTGTCTGTAGTACGTGCTTCTTTCCCTGTGGCAGAACATGACAAATATAAGTTGCACTGGCTACATCTTGATCGCATGACAGGTACTTCCCATGAGACACTCCAACTGTTCAAACCAGGGACAGGTCCCTCTCAGTCTTTTCTTGGCTTTCCTCCTCTGGAAACCATTGCATGCAGAAGTGGAGGCACGATGTATGATTAGCGCTTAACATCAAGTCGGGATAAAATGAGTTATACCCCTGGAATTGAGAAATGAGAAGCATTCCACTGTCCCACAATTCAGACATAGCCATTATCTAATGGCTGTACTTATACCCATTACTTAATGCAGTGCTGGATTGGGACACTGCAGTGATGAGCATAGCATAGAAAACTGTATAGAGTAACTCAGCAACACAAGCTTTCAGGGTTGTCTGGAAAATAGCTCAGGATATGTGTAGAATGCAATACTACATAACTAGAAGGTGATATTTCTGCATAGTAAATACATGCCTCATTTTTTTTTCTCATTTACCTCATCCCTTATTCTTATCCATCCATGGTGCCAAATGTTGCATGTTGGTTTTTATAAACAGACAAACATTTCTTAGTAAATATACTTAACAAATGGCCTTAATAAATAGTACACTTAAGAAGTTTCTCCCCTTTTGTACCGTCTGTGATTAGCCCCAGTCGTCCTGGCTGTGCCTGGCTGCAGCATTTCCTAAGGGACCGTCTCCCAGTTTAGCACTGCTTAAACACGGAGCAGTAAATTGAACCTTACCCTTTCCAACCACTCCCTGTTATTCTGTTTGCCCAAGATAAGGGAGACCTGTTCTTTTAAGGATAAACTCTTGTTTACTACTATTTAGGACCTGGTTCAGCATTCACAAGCAGCAGTTTGTAAACTGAGGTAGGCAATGCCTGCTTCCAGCTATTTATTCACGTGTCTGCATCACCCAGCTTCATGTGCTGTGAAACCAACAGGACTGCTAGGGCTGTAAAGTAACATGGCAAAAAAAGTAAGTTATTTTTCAGCCTTATCACTTTCTCAGTCTGATTCATTGCATTGCCACACAAACAGCTGAGATGGCATAACAGCA